TGAGGCGGCGGAGGAGGTGAAGACGGCGGCGGAGGAGTAGGGATTGGGTTGGGATTGAGGCGGAGGAAGAGCTCAGATGCCCTAGAGAGAGAAAAGAAGAGATTTAGCGATTTTAGGGTTTTTGTTTTGGGAATACGGGCGGGCGGGCAAACGGGTAAATATACACCGTCCATTTAGTGCCCATTTAGTATCATTTGAAATGAACCCACCCGTTTAGACCCATTTAACTAAATGAGTGGGTTTTGGACGGGCCAAGTGATGGGCGGGCTAGGTGGGTAAATAAGTATGGGCAAAAATTGACTTCCCTAAGTATTACTTATTAAGTAGAAGCTATTGTATCAATTTGTACTCGTAGTCCTCAACCTCAAGTGTGCAAGTATCCTACTCATCAAGATCTACCAATGCAAAGTATATCAGGATAACTATGGACATAAAAGACAGCAGAAACTAAGGGAGACCTGTGTTGTTAAGCAAAGGCGCGTAGCTATTTCTGGCCTCACAGCTATTGTATTAATACGTAATAAATTGTTGCAGTTAACATCTATATCTCACTTAAAGATCTACAAAGTAGCTTGCTATATTAGAAGCTGAGCATTTTGTTTTTTGTCTTGCATTTCTAATTTTTCTTTGGATGTTTATATTGCTCTATTCAATACCAGGATATGCATGCATGCATGCGTTCAGACAGTTGAATCTGTGCACTCATGCGTCCTCTTTGTTTGTTACCTTTCTTTTTTTGATTCTTTTGTTTGGTAAAATAAGTTTAAATCTTTATTCAGGTACATGTCAGCATCACTGTTGAAGTTTGCTAAGGAACACTCTTCAGTAGTTGCCGTGATGGGGAAAGGCCATCTACAAGGAGTTAAGAAACACTGGAATCAGCCTATTGAGGTAGCCACATTACTTATTATTCCTTGGTAGATTACTTTTGTAGATAAAATACCTAGAATTCTTAAACTTTAAGTGGGTTCTATCACCTGTACCCAAATCTGTCAGCAATCTTTAAATTTATGAAAATGGTATCACTGAAGGCGAAGATGTTTTTCACTGGTTGCTGAATTGCCTCAAAATTCTATGAAGTTGAACTCCGAATTTGTTTGGCAACCTCTTCTTATTTGATGACTGAACTCTTTCTTCAATTCTTGTTTGTGAATAATCATATTCACATACTTTATTCTGCGTGTGTTATCAATATCAGCTATTTATATCTTCATGGGAGCTATGGTGGAATAGTAAGAGTGGATTACAGGTAGTAGATTTTTGTCGATCGCTAAACTCTGCAAATCGATCTTGGTAGTTTAAAACCTATCTAAGTTTTTCTTTTCCTATTTGAAAGGGGAAGCATACAGGTAGTAGATTTTCATGAACATATTATGGACAATTCAATTGTGGGCAACTTGATTTTGGGCAAAGCATGCATGTATACTCACTGTACTTAAAGCTATTAACATCCCTAGATTATCATAAGCCACAGTTGTGGGTCTCCCAGTCAAACTAGACTTGATTCACCGTTTAGTGAATGTCGTTGCTTTTGAAATACTCAGACCTAGTTGAGAAGTAACATGGGCTTTAGGTCTTTGTTTTACAAACTCCTCAAATTGGACCATGACTGATTCTGGCCTAAATTTGACTTAAACTGGTTTAGTGGCTTTTTCTTGTTCTAATTAGTCCTCAACTATTGGTATCTCTTTTATATATATGCATTGCTTGTGTCCTTATGGATCAGTTTGTATATATATTAATCAGTTTGTACATATATTGATGCATTGCTTGTGTCCTTATGTTACACTCAGGATGATGAGGAAGAATGTGAAGAAGGATAAGAAGAGGGCTTGAGTAAATGTATATGGAAAGAGTTGAAGAAGCTTCTGCAGTGTTATAGCCATTGTAAATAATTTATGTAAAAGTTTGTAAACAATTTATGTATTTCTCTACTATTTTGGTGAATGTATTATTTGAATATAATAGGATTTGATATTGGAATATAATTAGATTGTGTTGGATATGAATATAATTTTTTGTTGAATATTGTGTACATGCACTCAAAGTAGATTCTGCAAAAAAAAAAAAAAAAAAAATTCCTAGACAAAAATTCTGTCTAGGATGCTCAAATTTCGTCTAGGATACTTGTTTTATTGATAAAAAATTAAAAAACATCCTAGACGGAATTTCCGTCTAGGATGACTATCCTAGACGAAAATTTTCATCTAGGATACTCATCCTAGACGGAAAATTTTTCCGTCTAGGATGTAGTATTCTAAACGGAAATTCCGTCTAGAATAATCTGTCTAGGGTGTATTCTAGACGGTTTTTAATTCCGTCTAGAATAATCCATCTAGAATGTATTCTAGACGGAATTTTCGTCTAGAATACTATATCCTAGACGGAAACATACTAGACGCATATTCTAGACGAAATTTCGTCTAGGATGCGTCATTATTTAGTAGTGCATGAATAAGGAGAGAACAATAGTCATCACCTATTATAGAAGTTATAGATGTTTGATCAAACATTAAAACTCAAACTAAACCGTTTTAGGAAGCTAGGCAAAAGAAACTACAAAGTTAGGAGCAATTACAAAGCTCACACTTACATCATAACCAAAATCAAAGTTAAAACAGTATGTGAACCCAAGATAATTACATAAAGACAGTGATGGAAACTAATGGTCATCTCCAAAGTTATCATCAAACCGAGCAATATCATAAGATGATGAATCTTTCTGTAGCAGTAGTTGAACTATCCCCCTTTCCTCCACCAACTCCTAATTAGTGGCAGCTCTCTGTGATGTTAGATTGTCTGTCCATAATAGTATAAAATGTGTGATATTAGAAGCCAAACAACGAGGAGAGACACTAGTCTCGTTGAAGGTTAGATTGTTCCTTGCCCTCCATAAGCACCATGATAAGGATCGAAAAATAATAGACCATAGAATTCTAGCATCTTTTTTCACCAAAAAAGAGCCATGAGATTCCACAATATCATTGAAATCTTGTGGTAAGGAAGATATTTGCAGAAAAGGCATGAAGAAGGACTAAACTATCTTCATAGAAGAGCATTACAAAAATAGGTGTTCATCATTTTCAGAGGCCTCATTGCATAATAAACAAGTAGTATCACTAGTTCATCCCTTATCCATTAGTGTCATCTTAGTATTGAGTTTCCTCTTAGAAAGTAGCCATAAAATCTTTTTTACTTTCAAAGGGGTGATTGATTTCCAAATAAAATGATAACCTTTGAAAGAAATGCCAGTGCCATTCAGAAAAGCATTGATAGTACTGACTGAAAAAGAGCCTGAAGAATTATATGGCCACCATGCCACATCTTTGCCACTGTTAGGGTGGATATATATGAAGGTTAGAGAGATAATTTCTAAGATCAGAGACCTCTTGTCTCTCCTTAGTAGTAATAGGTCCTCTAATCAATGGATGTCATCACAAGAGATTGTTATGGTAGATACCCTGAGACCTAACATTGACGTTGTCTGAGAGGGAGAGATTATAACTAAGTGGATATAAATATGCCAGCGTGTTTGGCCACGTCCATTTATCCTCTCAGAATCTTATACAAGAACCTTCACCTAATTTCTATTGAGCTAAAATCTTTAAAGCTTGACGGCTAAAGAAAATGTCATGTCAAAATTTAGAAGTAGATGGACCCGGTAGTGTGAAACTAGGAATTGGATATCCATATAAGTATAAAGAATCGGGGACTTTAGCCAAAAAAACTCATTATGAATTACCTTCCACATCCATTTGTTAGTTTACAGATTAGACTCCATTTGACTAAGGATTTACAGGGAGAGTTTATTTCCTTACGACTCCATAAGAAATTCTTTCTAATCCTATCCATTGCCTTCATAAGTCATTCTGATAATTTAAAAAAGGACAGATAATATATGTGAAGAGATGTTAAGGCCGAGTTTGTTAGAGTCAAATGACTTTCTATGAATAATTGCTTACTTTTCCACATAGAAAGTCTCTCAGAAAATTTATCTAATAGAGGCTACTAGTCTTGCTTGCTAAGGAAACCTTTTGTCCTAAAAATGCCAACATAATTTAAACGAGGGATTGCATGAGCACAATTGAGGGTGTTAGCAAAGAGGGCTCCTTTGGTAGAAGATTTCCCAAAGTAAAATAAGTTGGCTTTTTTCCCAAAGTAAAATAAGTTGCCTTTTGCATAGTTTATGCCTAAACCAAATATATCTTCAAAAAGTTGATTTGAGAACAGTGAAGTCAGAGGTTGAGGCTCTACACATGATGATTGTATCATCAACAAATTGACGGGAACAAACATTGTTTAGCTTACCTTTTAGATGCAGCTCAGATAGATCCCCACGTTCAATGCTGGAAGTGAGCATTTTGTTGAGGACATCCATAGCTAGAATAAAAAAATATAGATGACAGAGGGTCATGCTGCTTCAAACTCCTAGACAATTGAAATAATTAGAAGACTCATTCACTAAAATGGCTGACTTAGAAGAATGAAGAACTTCTCTTATTCATTGATACCACTTTGTGCTAAAATCCCTAGCTTTGAGCAACTCAAGGACGAAAGACCAACTGATACAATAGTGTGAGATTTCAAAGTTGATTTACCATTTTGAAAAGAAAATTAGGTAGGATCAACTAAGGAGGAAAAAAGGAGAGAGCATATTAGATAGGACTTCGGTGAAGATTTTGAACAGACCATCTAGGAGGCTAATTGGCCTAAAGTCTTTAACATGAAAAGCACATTCAATTTTAGGAATAAGAGAGATAAGAGAAAAGTTAATATTGTGAAGGGGTGAGGCATCTATATGAAGAGCATTGAAAATAGAGAATATATCATTTTTGATGATCTCCCAAAACTCTTGGTAAAAAAAAGTATTGAAAAACCATGTGGTTCTAGATATTTGTCAGGGTACAATCCAAAAATAGCAGACTTTTTATGAAAGAACAGATGAAACTAATCTAAATTAAAGGAAGATTAGCTTTTAGCAGAGAATAGAACAGAGAAGAAAATCAAAGAAACATTACAATTTTATCATTTTGGGTAATATTAGGAGATTTATGGAAGTAGATTTATGGAAAAAGGAGGTGTTGTTATCCTCCTCGTTCAACAATGTAATCCTAGATCTTTGCACCAAGAAATATTAGGTTCGCCTGTTTGACGAGATTCGCTCGATCGACGAGATTCATATGTCATACGAGGTTTGCCTGTTTAACTATGTTCGCTCGTTCGACGGGGTTCGTCTGTCATACGAAGTTCACCTGTTTGACGACGTTCGTCTGTCATACGAGGTTCACCTGTTTGACGACATTCGTTTGTCAAACGAGGTTCGTCTGATCTACTGAGTTGTGACCCTCGTATTTTGTAGCAATGCGTCCATTGATTGCCTTATATTCAGGAGTTAATGTATGCAGGAGTTACAATAGCATTAAGAGCAATTTAATGCATTAATGTTACATTCTTAATTACCATTGAGAATTGTAACAGTCACATTAATTGCTTGTGACTCTTGAGCTGGCTTTAGAGGCCTATAAATAGCGCCCTTAGGCAGCTCTTGGTCATTGCTGAAAATCCTCTCGCATGCGTGGAACACGAACGTCGCGTGCTGAAAACGAACGTCGATCCCGACGTTGTTGCTGTTGTGCTGCTACTACAGGAACTTGTCTTAAACCGAAAGGTTTTAAACCGTAAGGTTCTGAGATCGAAGAGATCTTTTGCCTTGACCGAAAGGTCTTATAGATCGAGGAGATCTTGATAGTACTGGGTTGGTACACACCAGAGTGTTGTACTGCTGTTCCTGGAAGCAGTTTGGCCTTAGGATCCTTGCACCGGAGTAGGCCAAATATTGCTTTAAGCACAACGTTTCTATAACGCACATCAGTGAACTAAAAAAATTAAAAATTACAGCACATCTGTTTTCTCAGTTTAATTCCAGATTTAACCATAATTTCCAACAGTGTACATTGTTGATTGCAGACTATTGTATGCTCGGATTCACGTCCAACAAATCTCACTGGTGAAATACTATACAAGATACCTGATGGTATTACCAGGTCACTTGCAAACCAAACAACTTTTCTTTATGCTTCACCCCTACGTACTCAGGGATCCTTTCGTAGCTTATAATTAGGACATCACAACTAGAACATCACAACCGTAGTTGGACCATTTTCGTCAAGTTGCAACTATTAGAATATAAAAATATAATCATCAATCCTATCAGAACTTTGGAGTTTTAATTTGAGTGGTTAGGAAAAATGGTATCAGAGCATCTTAGAATTAAATTCCACAAACTATGAATTTAAAGCAGATTTTTTTAAAATTGACACAGCTGTGTATGTTCAGATTCCGTTTACAATTAGTCAAACCCAGTTGCTACAACTTGCATCTTTTTTATTTCCAATATTCTAATGTTTGATGTAAACATTGTTTAAATCTATTTTTAGTTTCTAATATTATAAATATTGTAAAAGACAAATACTTTTTTAGTTAGAGTAATAGTCATTTATTTATTTACCCTATAATCATGATATCAAACTTTCCATAAATCATTAACAATAATGAATTAAGTTTTTACCATATTTTAATTATTGACTTTATCGTTCAAGAACTGATAAATGAAGATTGAAATTAAGATCCATTAAACTGAGGTTAATACGTTAGTGGTTCAATAAGAATGATAATAAGATATACATGTAACAGAGCACACATCACAAGTTAAAAGAAGCATTTATAATTACAGCTACAAGTTGCAAACTCTAAAAACTGGAAACAAACAAACTAGTCGCAATCACTATTGCATTGTCACTACAGTTACAATGATGCAAACACCCTTTTAGCGCTGACAAATATTTATTAATATATTCAAACCCTCACCTCTCCAACTTCATTCCTCATTCGATTGTTTAAATCCTGATATCCTGTGGTATAATATAATTGTATGATATGATATAATTGTATAGCTAATCATGGGGTTCATCATAGATAACCCTGATGTTACTGGCTGAGGCTACAT